GCCGTTCGTATGTTCGCTGCAGTTTGGCGGCGGCCAGCAGAATTGTGTCCCTGGTCCGCGTTGCCGAGATTCACTCGCCTGAGACAAACTGATCCCTCAAACAGACTTACTGATTCCCGGCAGGTCTCCTGTCAGCGGAATTTTGCTAGAAGTTCCTCAGCAGGTCGCATGTAGGTGTATTTATGGGTCTCTCTGATCCTGTTACTGCAGAGGTATTGAAAGTGCTGCCTGCTCCGCCGGCCGCCATGTTCTCTCCCTCTGGGTGACCTATTCTTTTTGTTCCTGGAAGCCTGTAGAATATTCTCTTTTATGCCAGGATTTTATTTTATTTTATTTATTTATTATTATTTTTTTATTTTAATTTTATTTTTTTTATTAGCTACACTATGCCAGGATTTTAAAGCAATGATTGTGCCCTCCGATTCTCTGCTCCCTCTAGAAATTTCTGGTATTTGAYGTTGGACTATTTGGCTAGTTTTCTAATTTTCCTTGACTTTTGGTCCAGTTTTAAAGATTTCTTATTCTTTTTGCTCTGGTCTCTGAAGGAGTCCTTGACTTTATTTTTTAAATCTTCTATCAAGTTTTTGCTTATTTAAAACATGAGAATATTAGCTTTTTATTGGGCTATGACAAACTCCACAAACTTAGAGACAAAACACAGCACAAATGATCTTACATCCAAAGTCAGCTTCCCAGGCCTGAAAGTGCTGGCTGGCCAGGGCTCCTTCCGGGGAGAAGTTGCTCCTTGTGCTCCCAGGTTCTGGTGTCCACCGTGTTCTTTGGTTTGTGCCCCTTACCCCATGTTCAAAGCCAGCAAGGGAGCAACTTTCTCCTCTCTGGGTTTTTGTATCATCTCTCTCTGTGCCTAACACTCTTGTCCCTTTCTGAGGATGCTGGTGATGTGTGGGGCTGACCTGGCAACCCAGCAGGGCCATCTCTTCATTCAAAACTCCTCAACTTAATCACTTCTGCTAAGCACTTTTCTAGGTAACATACTTGCGGGTTCCAGAGATTAGGACATGGCATTGGGGCAGTGGTGGGTGGGGGTGTTATTCTGCTTAATATAGCCAGTGAGCTTTTCCTCCTGGCCAGACTCCCTAGAGAGTCTCTGTAGGGAAGTGATAGGCTGGATGGCCACCAACTTTCCGAGATCTGTGTGGGATAAGAGGGCTCACAGGGAGGACTGTCCCAGCATCCAGTATTTGGGCCATGCAGTCATTTGGTCTCTGGGTGCAGTAACTGTGTCTAGTTTTCTCCAACTCTGGGACCCTCTGTTTTTACTTTTCCAAAGAATAAAATTTCAGACACCTGCCACTTCCTAGTGGCATGGGGCTCACAAAATCCTTCTTGGTCCAGTGGTCCATTTGGGAGTCTTTTTAAGATCGGGGCAAAAGGCCAGTGTAGGCAATGAATAATTGGGCCAGGAAGATGGAGTTCAAAAGGAAATAAAATGCTGATACCTCCAGAGCACTTCCCCCTCCTCCAACCTGTTGCCAAGGGGGCCTGCCTCCAGGGAGCTGTACCTCACAGCAGGGGATTGTTAATGAGTGCATCCCTGTCTCTCCCCCCCCACACCTTCCCTGCCCCTTCTGAGCAGCTCCTCTCTGGGCTTTTGGTCACTAGTCACATAGGCAAGATAAGAGGAGGAGGGCGCATTAGGAAAAAGGAAATCTGAAATGAAATAAAACCAGCTCTGGATCCCCTTGCCGTTGGGTAAAGTCTGTGTCTGTTCTATCCTTTAAATAAAACTTATTTTCTGAGATGGCCTTGGCCTTTCTTGGGTGTTTAATCTTCAACCCAAAGGCAACGGGGACCTGGATCCTGATTTATTCTCAACACGGGTATCATCTCTGGTCTCCTTTTGAGGTTTCTAAGATACAAATCAGGTTGGTTCTCAGTGTTCCATGGACAGCTCGAGCTTGCCGTGATTCTTGGGTTGGTTACTCAGATACCTCTCAGCTTCTACAATTTTCCCCTCACCTCTCCACGTTTGTGGTCTTGATTCTTTAAAAAAAACTGGATTAGGCTGGGCGTGGTGGTGCATGCCTAGAATCCCAGTGTCTCAGGAGGCTGAAACAAGAGGATTGTGAGTTCAAAGCCAGCCTCAGCAATTTCACAGGGTCCTAAGCAACTTAGTGAGACCCTGTCTCTAAATAAAACATAAAAAGGACTGGAGATGTGGGACAGTGGTTAAGCACCCTTGGGTTCAATCCCTGGTACAAAACAAACAAAAAAAACTATTATAAATTCAGTGTCATTTTAGGCAGGCGTGAAATTATAGGGATGTATGTGTATGTGTTTCTATCTCAATCCTTAAAAAGCATTTTGTTTGATTTTGGTTAAGTTCTTTGGACCAGGTACTGTGTTATTTCTGATCCAAGTGGCCTGGCACCAAATCCAGCACTCTTTCTAAGTAAAAAGTTTTCGTGTCCGGTTCTATGTGTCCTGCCGTCCTGCCCAGCTACGCGGCTGCATCTCTACTCCTGACAGATGCCGAAGCTCCTCCAGGACTGACCTTGACACCATCTCCAAAAGCAGGAAGCACTGGCCAGTGTCTTTCCTAACATGACCTTGAATACCCCCCACTTCCACCAGCTTCCCAGGGATAGAAGTGCACAGGCCACAGGCAGGGCTTCCAGGAACCTGAGGACCTGGCCACTAAGCTCATGGTCTCAGCTGGTGACATAAGGAAAGTTGAGCTTTTTGTTTTAATGGTCTTCCTTGTACTCTGGATTTGGGAGTCTAACCTGTACTGCCTGCCTCTTAGCTTCTCCTCCTTTCTCTCCCACATTCGGGTGTCATGTCACCTCTGTGGCCCTATTTCCTTCCTCTGCCCTTTTCTTTGGTTGTTTTTGTAGTACTTCCAAGTCTCGGCATCCCAGATCTCGGGCTCCAAGTGGACCTAGGTTCTGATTTAAGAGAGGCTAAGTAAATTTACAAAGTCCCACWGCTAATAAGGCAGAGCCCAGACTTCAACCTGAGCAATCTGACTCCAAAATACATCTTTCCTCACTTTGCCATAGATCACGTGTCATTCACATTCGTGTACCAAATACTCTTTTCTGAGAAAAGTATGCAAGTTTGAGTGTGTGTGTGTGTGTGTGTCTCAGAGCAGGTGTTGACTGTGTGCATGGAGGATAGCAATAGGGATTGGCAGAGTGCTAAAGTCAGTCTCTCGACCAGCACGCTGGCTTCATACTTGAGGTTCAAAACATATAAACTAACTAGTGAGTTCAAATTAAAGGAACATGACTCTCAATTTACCTTTTTTTGCCCAGCTCAGAGACAGCTCCTCCCAGCTCCTGCCTCTAGCCACCTGACACGGTAGGGAGGTTTACACAAGAGGCCAGTAAGAGAGAGAGAGAAACACCCCAGGGAGTTAGCTTTTATTGGGGAACAAAAAATTCAGGGGAAATTCCATCCAATGAAGGTTGAAGGGGGCAGCATTCCAAGGTCAGGGTCAGTGATTTGTTTTCAGGTCAGCGGTCAGGCACACCCCCACATGGACAAGCCCTCGCACCTGGGGAAGGGTGGGGAAGGCTCTGACRCAGCTTGTCTAAGCACCTCACACCCAGCCAGGGAGGTAGCTCAAATCACGAGCGAGAACGGCTTCCCACACTGAAGCCCAGCAGTTCTGTGATGGAGATGGTTCCCAGCAGAGAGACACAGGGAGAAGGGCCTGGTGTGCATGTTGACATGGAGGGCCTGTAGGCCCACTGTGTGCTAGGCCCCACAGATGATGGGAAATATAAGATGTGGCTGCACTCCTCAGGGGTGTCATGGTGTGTGCAGATGGAAGGTTTGTAAATGTTCTACCTTAAATGCTTTTGACTTTAGCAACACAGGTCAGTGGTAATTCCCAGGACACAGGCATCTACTGATCCGTAGATCCTCCATTGCCCAGTGGGAAGGTCCCCAGCTACTCATTTAGTTCATAGCTACTATTCTATCCAGCATCCTCACCACCAGAAGTGAGAGAAGATCAAGAATCAGATTCTATGCATTTATATAAAACTTCTTGGGTTATCTAGGTCACTCTTTTCCTCATTGAAAGTTGAAGTGCTATTCCATGATTTTTATAAATACTAATTGTTTGGAAACACTTGTACAAAGCATGTACTTTTAAGGGTTGAAAAAATAGAAAATTTTAATAGTAAAAATATGAGTTTTTAAAAAATATTTATAGTAAAACATACTTAATAAACAAAACTTTAAAAGTATAGAAAAATAGGAAGACCCAAATCAATCACAATTGATATTTTGTTGTTTCTTACTAGATTTCATTTTTATCCTAAACTTTGATTATTTGGTGGTTTGTTTTAAATAGTTATGCTAGTGCTGTAAACAGAAATTTGTAACCTGCTTTTTTATGTAGCATTATTCCTAACCTCTAAAACATCATTCATAATTATCATATAATTTTACATTTAATGTACCATGCTTTAATTTTTCCCCCAAAGTTAGATTTTTGGGGGATTTCCTATTTTCCAGAATATTAGACCATGTTGCAATACACATTTGCATAGAATTTTCTCTTATATTCTTACTTGTTTTCATAGTACAGATTCTTGGAAATGGACTTATTTGATTGAAGGGTATAACTACACATACTTGTAAAGTTCCTGACACATTAGTTTGAAAAAAATTCTCAATTAAAAGGTGGCCCGATTGGCACTTCCAGTGAGGACTGTAAATTTCACAAATGGGCATGATGAACACCAAATGCAGGAAATGCCCTCATCCAGTGTCACCCAGTGGGCCTGAGGCTTGGGTTGACAGCTGTATCTTGACAATAAAAACACTCTTGTCCATATTCAGATGATTCCAGGCTATGGAAAAAGAAAAAAAACCAAAGTGAGTCAAGTTATAAAATTGTCTTGATTAATAACCCATCATCCAGGTAGCAACTTAAACATTTAGCATATTCAAAACATGATAGGAGCTGGGCATGGTGGTGCATGTCTGTAATCTCAGCATCTCAGGAGGCTGAGGTAGGAGGATTGTGAGTTCAAAGCCAGGTTCCTCAAAAGCGAAGTGCTAAGCAACTCAGTGAGATCCTGTCTCTAAATAAAATACAAAGTAGGGCTGGGGATGTGGCTCAGTGGTAGAGTGCCCCTGAATTCAATCCCTGGTAGCCCCCACCCCTACTGCAAAAAAAATGTTAGGATAGGAAAATATCTATTTGAAACTGCTCCAGAGAGATGTTGACATTATATGTTGTTAAAATGTGAGATTCCTTGTTCAAGATTTCTCTTCACTCTTGACTTGTTGAATAGGTTTAGCAGTTGCAACCATAAGTAAATTATCAGTATTTTAGCAGATGAAGTTGAATAGTTTCAATAGGATGAGACACTTCCCCTCTTCTCAAATCACTTGTTAGTGTCCTCAGTATAAAGAAGTTTTATTACTCAAATATAACAATAGTGAGATAAAGTCCTGAGCCTTCCATTATCTCATGAGCATAACAATTCTTAATAACAGTAAAATATCATCATGCTTTTGGTTATCTCTACATAGAGAAATGAAATGCACTCATTCAAAACTCTTAGGCTATTTTTACCATACAATATAGGACATCGATTTGACAGTTGTTGACTTCATTCATTCCATTGAGGCCAGTCAACAAATGCATTGGAACATCAGAAAAAAAAAATTGAGATTTTAAAGTTTGAGGAAAAATAAGGGCAGTAGAAATGGGTATAAATGAGGGATTGCAGAGACCTTCCCCCAGGATAAAGGGGAAAAGGCTGGCAGCCAGCTCTACCTGGATGATGACGGAGTAGGTGCCGCACAGGGTCTTGGAAAGCTGAATGGAGATTCTGACGAGGCAGATGATCACCTGAAGCCCACTCAGGGCTATGAGGATGGAAAACAAAATCAYGTTCCACTCCACCACATGCGTGGGCTCCAGACATTGGCTCCACATGCTGGAATCTGTCAGAAAACTGAGAGAGAGGAGGGAGTGGCCAATTGAAACCTGGGTCTGGGCTCACATTGTACCCAAGGCTGAAACTACAGCCATTCATATGTTTGGGAAGTTAATACTTTATTATTAAAATTTAACAAACATAACATCATATTAGTATGTAGTAATATTAAACAGTAATATGAATTAATATATTTGAAAAGTCATTCAGGTGCATCTATTGAACACTGTATATACAGCCACTGAGTTAGACCCTTAGTTTAAACATGGTGTCTGCCTGGGAGGCACTCTCAGTTGATCAGGAGGCAAGACAAACCCCAGACAGGTCAACCACAGCAGAAGGCAGCAGAAGGTTGCAGATTCCAAGATGGGGAGTTGAGAAGTCGGTCAGGGATGGAGACTTGTTCTGGACATAAAATCACATTTATGGCAAAAGGATAAAAATTGCGCTAGAAATTCCTTGACACTGTCCAAGCCCTTTCAATAAAGGCAACCACGTGAGCCAACATCGGGAAGATAGGAAGGTCCGTGAGAACCCAGCATGCAGGCCCCACTCCACCGTGCTGGCTTGGTGGGTCCGGAGGAACCGAGTTCCAGTTCTAAGTCTCCCAGGGGTGATGCTGCTGTGCTCAGCTCTGGTCCCCATAAAGAACCTCTTTTTTTTTTTTTTTTTTTTGCAACATTGCTGTCCCAGCTGAAGGAGACTCAGATTATGGGATGGGAACACAACGGCCCACGTTTCAATCCGTCCAGTTTAGCACAGGGATGTGAGATCAAACCACTCCCAGGACAAACCAGAAGTTACTCTGGACCAACCCAGTTGGCAGGCTCACCCTGGCTCTCTCATGGTCATGGGCACTTCTAATGGTCAGACTGTGTGTTCAGCAACACTGAAATGGAGAACTGGCCTCCCCAAAACCTGCCCCGACAAAAACAATTGTCACATTCACAGGGGCAAAGTGCTTGGCAGGGTGGCTTTTCTCAGAGCTGCAGCCAGCAGCCCATGTCCTGGCCTTGAGGCTGTGGGCACCGAGGTCAGGGGTGGGCAGGGATGGATTCCTACTCTGGTGACCACGCACCCCACCTTGACCTCTTCTCTGTTTTCCTTCCTCTGACCTCTATTCCTCTCCTACTCCTTCCTCTGAACTCTTTCCTCTTCCTTTATTTCCTTCTCTAATGCTCTGGAAACTCAGAAGCACTCTGAGAATTTCTCGATATTGCTAAGGGTCCTCATCCCCAGCCATAAAGAGTGGGCACCTGGGATTGCAGGGCCCTGGGAAGGGACTTTACCCCTCTGACCACCAGAGTCTTATCTGGATGATGGGTTAAAATAGCCCATGATTGGAACTGGGGATGTGGCTCAAGCGGTAGTGCGCTTGCCTGGTATGCACGGGGTGCTGGGTTCGATTCTCAGCACCACATAAAAATAAAATGAAGATGTTGTGTCCACCGAAAACTGAAAAATAAATATTAAAAGATTCTCTCTCTCCCTCTTCTCTCTATCTTTAAAAAAAATAGCGCATGATTGTGAATATTTGGTGAGACGTGTGTAGCGTCTCAKCCAGCCATGAGGAAGGCGGGTCCCTCCTGATCCCTTCTCTAGACTCTTCCCCTCGCACGTTGTGCACAGATCATTCAGCACTTAAAAACCAGTCAGAAGAGGGTCTGTCTCACCCAGGCTATGGTAAGGTTTATTCCTCTTATAAACTGCAGCAGCAGGGTGGGGAGGAATAGAGAAGCCATCTCAGCATTGACTTCAGGTGTGGGAACTCCACCTAGATGTTCACTCTATAAATCTGTGTCTGCATCTGTGTCTGCATCTGCTTCCATTTCCTAACCAACTGCCATCTAAGGGCCCTGATTCTCTGAACAGCCAGGTCTAGACTTAAGGCAGTTCCCAGTATCATGTACAGATTAACAAATGTTTGTTGATTGAAAACTGATTCAGGATCCTCACTAGTCATTTTATAGTGGCTGGAACTGCTAGCCAGCTGGAGGATGGGGAATTCAAGGGACATAAAGGAGTCTGCAGAGTAATGTTATTAACAATAATAAAACTTGGAGCTGGGCACGGTGGTGCACGCCTGTAATACCAGCAGCTCAGGAGGCTGAGGCAGGAGGATCATGAGTTCAAAGCCAGCCTCAGTAAAAGAAAGGCGCTAAGCAACTCCGTGAGATCCTGTCTCTAAATCAAATACAAAATAGAGCTGGGGATGTGACTCAGTGGTCAGGTTCCCCTGAGTTCAATCCTGGTACACCCCCCAAAAAATAAAAATAAAAAAATAAATATATCCTGGCATACCATGAGCATTTATTACATCTTATTTGTGTATCACATCCTTTATAATTCTCAGCTCTGTAAGGTAGATATGATTATTTTCCCCAACTTATAGAGGCTCAGAGACAGCCGTATACTTGTCTAGTATCATACAGCATAGAAAGAGGGGTTTGGAGATTTAAGTCCAAACCTATAAGCATCAAAGACCTGTGTGCTTCAAGGGCAAACTTTATCCTAAGGCTTTCACTCAGTAGACTCTTCTGTCAGTTCTGTGAATTCTAGAAGGGAGGGAACCTCTGCAATTTAGCTGTGATTCTCTAACACTCAGCCCAAGTTCAAAACATAATAGATGCTCCATAAATATTTGCTGCATAAATGAAATACTGATATTCATCATTTTGATATTAATCCTTTCTCTACCCTGCATTTGACAAACCTTGGAAACTTCTCTAGGAGACCAGAGACTTAGCTTTCCTGCATGGTCTGCAAACAATTTTTCACCTCCAAACACTTTTATGTAGTCAGAGGCAGGTGAAGACCAACATTCAAGGTAGCTGAACAAAGTGACGGAGAGACTTGTGGAAGGGAAAGTGGCTTTGGTTTGGGGGTAGGAAAAAGTTGGCATCAAAAAGGTCTTTGTCCACTCGGGAATTTCTATGCTGAGATCTTCTTTCCTGAGCCCCTTCTGTACCACAGGAGTGTTACCTCCAATGCACTGGAAGGCCTGAGGTTATTGTCTRTGTTCTCCTGACCTGAGGAGAGCCCTGTCTACTAAAAGAGGTCAGCAGTGCCGTGCAGGCCCAGGTTGCATGTGAGACCCTCACATAGACAAGGCCCTGGAACAGACAGTGGAGCCAGTCGTAGGGCCTGGGGAAGAAAATGCAGCCTCCCCAGGGAGCAGTATATGCTCTTCGCTGTACTCCATTCTATTCTGAGCATAAGATAAAGACAAGGAGACTGGGCTTCTCCTGCATCCCTTTCTGGGCCCTGCTTCCTCTTGAGCTGCGTCTGCAGGTGCTGGTAGCCCAGTAAGGCCAGCACAAGGCCAGTCCAGGCATTCTGAGATACAGGGTGGGGGTGCTCAAGCCACCAGCCTTCTRAGCAAGGGCATCTCTTTGGACCCTTCTTCATTACCAGCTGGGGAAGCCCCTGGCTGACTCCACCGTCTACTGTCCCAAGTCGTGTTCCTGGATCTGACTGCACCTTCCTGCTCATCCTTCATGGTTCTATCTCCATGTCCCCTGCTGCTATAGCTAAAAGTGGCACTCTCCAAGGGCACCACGATTCCTTTCCTGCCACTGCAACAGACCACGTCCAAACTGGCTACAAAAGAAGACTGAGTCACTGAAACCCGACAGATTCCCAACTCCATTAGTTGCCAGATAATCACCAGGTTTTAATCTGAACTATGGGAAAAACATGACTTTCAGTGATGGCTTGCCTCAAAATATTGAGTACATATCACATTCAGAAACCAGAGAAGGTAACCAAAGGTGTGTGTGTCCCTGTGGAACCCCAGGGCAATTGTGGACGATGGAACTGAATGAGGACAGGGTTTCTGATTTTCTGAGCTCCTTAGTTGGGGAATGAGTCCTTACCGTCCTGCGGTGTCTTCAAAGGCATATTCCCAGCCATGGAGGGTGCGGCAGTATGGGCCCTGGAGGAGACCCAGAGCAGATATGACCATGCTGTATCCAGAGAAAGCAATTCCCAGAGCAGAAAAGATAATCGACAACATGGTCTAAATCAGATACAGAAGAGAGGTTAGAGAATGAGCAAAACAAGGAGGTCGTTTATCCACAGTACCCTTTGGGACCCGCCCCTGCTGGTCTGTACCCAAGGTAGCCCATGTCATTCCAAATGCCATATAAAAATGGGAAAATTTGGGGCTGGGACGGTAGCTCAGTGGCAGAGCACTTGCCTCTCATGTGTGAGGCACTGGGTTTGATCCTCAGCACCACATGAAAATAAACAAATAAAATAAAGACACTTGGTCTATCTACGACTACAATTTTTTAAAAAATGGAAAAATTTGATCCAAACCTGTCTGATCATAAAATACATTTCCAAATGTTTTTTTTTTTTTTTTGGTTATCATTCAGAGGGTATCAGATCATTTGCTAAATTTCTTCTGTTTTTCTGGAAGTCTGCCATCAAAATAATGATGACCTTCTATAGGATCGCGGTAAAGGGGCGTGATCCATCAGCCTGTAGCTATTTGTTGGACCTGTTATTTTCTAGGTAGGGCAGCTTCTCTAAGAATAAGTTCTGACTTCTGTCTCCTTTGTGAAGATTTAAAAATCTTCACATGTAAGAATGTAACGGGGGTTAGAGGTGTTTGCTAGGTGTTCATGTTCACGTTCACACAGAATGGCAAGGACCGGAAGGGCTTCTCCGTGTGGGGAGCAGGAGCAAGGGCACAGGCAGATGTGAGAGGGTGGGAAGGCTGCTCTGACCTGAGAAGGRCTCATTCAGAGGCTCGAGGGAGCAGCTCTGAAGACCAGATGGACCTGGGGTTAATGTTGGGGAGACAGGCTCCACAGACACTATTCAAACCTCAAGGAACTTGGGAAGCAGTGTGGATCTGGGCTAGAGATGGCTTGCATACCAGATCAAGGAGTCTGGACCTCTTCATCCTTGGCAGGGGCATGCCCTGCTCCAACATTTTATTAAAAAATGTTTACATCCACAGCAAAAGTTGAAAACATAAAACCACAAAGCCCTATATACTCTTTATCTAAATTCACCCATCACAAACATCTTCCCATGCTGTGCCCTTGCTCTGTGTGCATGTGTCTTTGCACATGTGTGTACACATGTGTTCGTACCCACACACACTATTGTTTTGTTGAACCATTTGAAAGTGGGTCTGCAGACGTTATGATCTTTCACCCCTAAATACATAGCATCATCTTTCCTACRGTTAAAAGCCTTCCATTATTTTGGAACTCTTTTTAATGGATCCAATGAAGGTTTATGTGCAAGGTTATGTCTCTCCACCCTAGTCCGACTTTGTTTCTCATAGTATCAKATTTTTTGAAGAATTCTACCAGTCATCTTGTGAAGGTCCCATATTCTGGGATTTCCTGCCTRTTTCTTCATGTTTGGGTGCAGACGTCTAGGCAGGAACACCGGAGTGGTGAGGTGCACTGTGAGCCTCTCCTGCTCTGAAGCTGAGCATGTTCCCTTGGCTAAAGGTGCCCCTTGGMCCTCTCCCCTATAGGTACATTTTCCATTTTGAAATTAGTAAATAACTGGTGAGGGAGCCCTTTGAGACAGGGTCAAAGTCTGTTTCCTAACATTTCAAGTGACAGACCTGGCATCCACTGATGACCTCAATGGTCACCAGTGAACACATAGGGTATTGCAATGAGCTGTTTTATTGAKTCTATCATTTCTCTGAATTTTAGGTGACCCTTTCTTACCCAGAAGGACTTCCATTTCCCATTTCTCTCTCCTCTGCTTTTCTCTTTCAATATTATTGTGGACTCATTGATTTTATAATCCAATGTGCAATAATCCATAGCTGCTACTACTTTCTCAGATGCCCAGAGGGTCCAAATTTGGCCACAGGAAYCCCCTTTGGGTCAACTCCTTGGCCTACTCCTATCATTCTTGAACAATTCCTTGCTTCCTGATGCCCCAGGTTCATTTGGAACTTAGCCAGCCCCAGACCTTGAATAGGCTGTTTTTCTCACAAATCTTGGAACTGATTTTTGAGCAAGGAAATGACGTGACCCAGTGTGCTTCTGGAGGCCTGCTCTGGCARTGGTGGCACAGAGCTGGAAGTGAAGAGCCCACAGGTGAGGGCCCCGCTGGAGATGACTTGGAGTTGAGGTGATAGACAGTCACTGGAGAAAAACACATTAGGGAGAAAAGAGACAGGAGATGGAATTATTAAAAGAAAAATCCAGAGTTGAAATTTGGATGAAAAGAGGACAGAAACAAGAATGCCAAGAAGTATAKTTTGGTTTGGGAGAAAAACTAATTTATTTCAGAAATGTTGATTGGAAGGGGAGAGGAAGACAGGAAGGCAGTGACATGCAGATAAATCTAGAAGCTGAGACCAGAAGGCGGAGGGCACACCTGCAACTTTAGGAATAAAAATGATGCCAAGTTGCAATCCTTTGTTCAAAATTATGTCACTGGCTATAACATCAGACTATTCCTAGCAGCCTTTTGTGCTGGAGATGCTAAATGGAAGTCAAGACAAATTGGACATGTTGCTTTTGGTTCTATACTTAATGATACATACATTTGTTTCCTAGAATTTCCTTGACTAGCATGGCTTACGCGTTGACCTCAATCTATTGCTTCACCCAAACAATTTTGAAAGCTCTTCTGTAATTGTAATATAAGTAGCTATGGGACAGAGATGTCTGAGTGTATTGGTTGAGAACACACACACACACACACACACACACACACACACACACACCTCCTTCAGGGTCACAGTGCTAAATTAAGTAATTAATTTAATTTTCCAAAGGCCAAGAAATTTGGCCAAACCATCTTGGCTATAATTCCAAATCTGCTAGGGAGATTTTTAAAGAAATCACGCCCATGTTGTATCTCAAACTGACTAAATCAGAGACCTGGGGTGGTGCGGGGGTGGAATTCAGGTACTAGGTTTTTTGCATGTTCCGGGTGGTCGCAGTGGGAGCTCCTGCTGCAGAGTGCCCAGGAGAGTCTGATCAGGCTCCTCCTAGTCAACCAACACCAAGTTCACTTGGACCCACAGGTGCCTCCTCTATAAAACAGCAGCCACGACAATCTACCCACTGGGCAAATGTGAAAGAACTAGAAATCGTTCTGTAAATGTGATTTTAGGAAGGAGAGGAAGAGAAGATGGTGGGGAAGCCAGAGCCCAGGTGTGCCTGATGAGCTTGGGCTTAGGAGACGGGATGGAACTATTCTCTCTGATTCTATTTTAATTATTTTTAAAGTACCAATTTTTTTAAAAAAATGTAAATCATATACACCCAGCAACATGGRTGAATCTACAAATCATTAAGTCGATAAGAGAAACCATATAAAAAGAAAAATACTATAAGATTCATTTTATATAAGATACTAACCAATCTATAATGACAGAGGAGATCAAAGGTTACTTTTGGAGGGGTTAATGGAAGTGTTCCATATGTTATTATTGCAATAGCTTCACGGTGCATCCAACAGCCCAAACTCATAGAATGCTGCACTTTCAGTGGATGCCATTTATCATATGTAACTTGGTCCTCAATGAGGTTGGCATGGAATAAAAATAGTCTCCTGGAAACCCAGTGAGGAAAAAATAGTGCTCTTTCCTAATTCCATGTGCCTTTCAATTCTGGGATTCTAGAAAAGTACCATCAGAACAAAGGCAGAGGAAATAGGTAAGCAAAGTGGAAGACATCAGTCTGATGTCTGAGCCAAGAACTCTCAGTCTGAGCCAAGGACCAAGAGTGTGAGATGACGCCAGTATGCTACGGATTGACAGGAAAGGAAGCTGGAACCCACCTACCCCTCCCCATCGCCTGAGCTGCTGCTCTTACCATGTATTTTTTGGTGCAATTTTCACTCTGGCAACACTTATAGCGGCTCTCATTGTCCAGGACAAGAAGAACCACRGCTACCATCAGCATCTGTGGGAGGAGGAGAAAATGTCAGAAATGGAGACTCATTGACACTCATGGTCCTGAGCAGAGGACCGGGATTCCTAGCACAGAGTCTGGAGTCAGGTGGACTGGGGTTCAAATCCCAGCTCTGCTGCTTTTTAGCTGTGTGAACTTGAGAGTCATTCTCTAAAATGTAGGGTTCAGAACTCACCCCCCTGAGTTGTTATCAGGCACTATGTAGCCCTTTGAGTTCAGTGCTGGATTCATAGTGATTGATCAATATTGGCTATTACTCTCAAGGTTTGCAATAGTCAAAGCTAATGGATAAGGAGGAGTAGACGGTACAGCCATGAAGCACCCCACTTTGGGCAGCAAACCTGCATTTTCTCTGCCTCAGTTGTGGAGGATGAAGGAAAATCCTTCACCAGAGTTTGCAGCCTGCCACTCTGTCTACTAACTGCCCTTGGGAATGGAGGTGAGAAGRAGGGTTAGTCTGAAACTTTATCTCTTTAAAGGAAGCTCAGTTTCCCATACAATCAAAAATTTCCAGTGTGTTTTGTCTGTTTTAGGCCAACTGGCTGGGATAATTCAATGTTTTCTACTTCTTTTCTTGGTATCTTAGGCCAAGGACTTAAGCTCTGGAAAGAACGTGGATTTTATTACTCTGAATTTCTGGCTAAGAGAGGTATGAACCAGAGCTTATGGGAAATTCCCCACCCATCCTTTGCTCTCACTGTTGAGCACTAAATCCTAAGGTGGAGGTCACTGTCACTCTACCATTGACAACACCTCCAGTCCAACACCTTCAGCTTTCCTTTCTTTGTCTGTCCCTTTAACTGTTTATCTGTATTTCTCAACCTTCTCTTAACAAGGAATCAGAACTGCAGGAAATCATGACATTACAATAATATTTTGCAGTAATCCTTAGAAAATGAAAAATGAAAAAATGGGTTCTTCTTCCAATTTTAAATTTTACCTGGAATACAAGTCAAGGAGGCCTATATTTTTTTCTCCTTCCAACAATGTTAATTATTACAGATTCTTATAGATTCTGGTTTAATCTTATTTATGTGTATTTTCCATTCATTACAGATACTTATTGAGGGAAACAATGGTAAGATAAAGCTGAAGTAATAGTAACCRGCATCATTATAGTATTGGTAGTCAAAATTAGCCTTAGACCCTAGAGTCCTGTTGCTTAGCTGTTGACTGTTGAAAGAGAGGCTTCCTTCATTTTGTTTTAGAACATTACCACACTGTGGAGGACTCACAAGCAATGGAGGAAAATTACCCACCATTCCACCCATCTTCATGTTTCCAATCTATTTATTTCCAGAGTTTTCTCATTTCCATGTGTTTTCTATAGTTGTAATAACAAATGTATCTAACTTTGTTGCATCTTTGTTCACTTAACATAAAATCATGTTCATTTTCGATGTTGTTATATTTCCATAATTAAAATCTTTATCACTGTATGAAGGGAGTGTACCATGATTTATTTAGACCCTTTTCTGCTAAGATGCTTTTTAAAATAATGCTRTAGCAACCATGGTTCATATAACTCTTTCCTTATTTTGGATTATTTCCTCAGAATGAATGATGAGACTTAGGATTGTCAAATTGAGAGACAAGAGCAATTTCATGGACCTTGATGTTTTGCACCAAACTCTTCTCCAAAGGATTTGCTTTTATTGGCAGTGCCACTGACATTAGCTGTGTACCCATTATGTGGCAACATCCATAGCATTGGGTATTCATACTTAAAAGTCTACCAATTTAATATGCAAAACCAAAATGAAATCAAAAGTAAATGACAACTGCTTTCCAACAATAGCTATTCAAATGTTGTAATAAGTAAATTCCCCCCAATGCAGATAGATGTAATGCCTTTTCTTCCACCTTATTGGAAGTCTCAGGAGATTACAGTGCACAAGGTATTGTTTTCAGGAATGGGACCACCAGGAAGAGCGTCTTTTCCTCTGAGTTGCCAACATGAATTACTATCAGCTCATTTATTTTTGAAGAACACAAAGCCATCAGGAAAACATTCACGGATTCTTTCCAGTGATAATTTTGAGTTCCTATTTAAGAACATCCTCCATCATTGGAGAGGTGATTTGGACTCCTTACTGATAATGTGGCCCATTTTTAAATAAATATAATTATGACAGTCACTGGCTACATACTACATGTCAGTCTCTGTCCAGGGCACTTTATCTGATTTTATTTAATCCCTACAATCACCCTGGGAAGTAAACATCATTATTCACATTTTGAAAATGTGGACACGGAGGCTTTAAGTATCTAGACAAAGGTCTCCTGACACAAATGACAGAGCCTAGATTTGAAAGAAAGTTTGTGTGAATCTCCAAGTCTCGGATTTTTCCATGCTGTTTTAGTACCCCTGCCCCCAGGCTAAAGAAATCCTTCGTGCAGACAGAAAATCCATTCTAGAAAAGAGAAATGCCACTGGAAATTAAGTAGCTTAAATGGATACCCCGGGTTCATGATTTTTTTCAGCATAATATTTTTATAGGTCAGTGTYCCCAAAACTTTACTTGGACTAGTTTTCTGTATTGCTAAAGCCACATTACATTGCTGAATAGTTTATMCAAAACAAAGCTACTCCCCAAATCTTAAAGGACTAATAGCCCCTCCATCCCCTCCCACCTTCCAAATCTGAAATTCAAGATTCGTAGAACGCTTTTCATCATTTTGACTATGTACAAGGCCATGCTTACTAACGGATCCCCATTCTGCAATCTCAAGTCTCCAACATCACACTTACCATGACACCCGAGAAACAGATTCCTTCAAAATACCACACGTAGTTGGTGAGCTTATTGTTGGCTGCGTAGGAGACCTGCCCGTTGGGGAAATACAGTAATATGTTCACAATGATGCTCCAAAGTGCAAGTGGAATTAGCAGGCAGCTCAGGCAGCCCCCGCACTTCCGAGACCCCATTGTGGCCTGCTTACAGCCCGTAGAGTCCAAGAGAGAATTTCATACGCCGGTGGTCCTTTTTCCTGTCTGTCCTTTTCTTTTTCTTTCCTTCTTTCTTTTTTCTTTTTTAAAATTACCTGCCACTTTCTGGGTCAGAGCCCTTCACTTCAGATTCATGAGGAGCCAGGGCTTGGAGTACAACTGCAGCCCAGAACAATCCGTATGAGTACTGGTTTACTATTTGGAGAACAATAGACAATGATCAAGGGCTGAGGAGCTGAGCTGGTCTTCATCCTGTGCCAGAGGAATGTGCTGTTTGACACTGCTTTGGAGAATAAGTCATTTTCCCCTGGATTAGAGCACTGCAGACTTAACCCTGGGCAAGTCTGGAGAAGGAAGTTGGGGGAGGCAGCTGGAATTGAGTCTGGTAAATCTCATCCAGCAGTAGAGACAGGGTTCAAGAGAAACCACCCAGGAGGCTTGGGTTAGAGTCTGACCTCTTCATCCCTTTTCATCTCTCTCCCTTTCACCAAGGCTCTTGATGGTTTTCTGTAGCTATTATTAGGGGCCATTCATTCTGAAAGGGGTGCCAGGGGACTAAGGGACAGGGGATGGGGAAAGCCAGTGTCCCAACTGATAACTTGACTGTCCAAGTTCAGCACCGCCTTCTTTCCAGAGCACCCGTCCATCACCTCTGCCTCTCTGAACAAGTCACAGCAGGCACAAATGCATATGTTTCCTACTGTTAAGGAAAAGGAGATGAATGAAGGTGGTTTAGGACTCTGTGACCTTTTAATGAAGATCAGGAATTCTCTCTTCCAAATGACTGCCTTAAATGCAAAGAGCCACCGATGCCCTCTAATTATGAGGACGTGAGAAGGAATTATTGCAGCAGGTTAAAGACCGAGTGGACAGTGGTGGATGCAAATCCAACAATTGCTGGACCTGGTTCCTCCCCTTTCTGCTGGATCGGCTTGACTTCTCCTAAGTCTCAACTTCTCAACTGTGAAATGGGGATTAAAACAAAATAGTACCTTGCCCAGAAAGATAACGTGAAGATGTTTAAACAAGATTATGTGCACAAAACAGTTTCAGCTGCACATATAGACAGACGACAGACAGACAGCAATCAATGGGAGCCATTAGTAATCATCTTTGATTCTATTTTATTTTTTCAGTGCTGGGGATTGAACACACTTGCTAGGCTGGTGCTTTATCASAAGGCTACATTTCCAGTCTAGGAGTCATCATTAATAAAACAAAGGGTTATTAAAGGAATATAATTGTCAAAATAGTACAGAGATTAGAAGAAAGTTTGCTTATTTACTCTTCTGAATACTCATGGAGTTCTGAATCATGGTCCTAAGTCCAGACCCCATTTAATATCTTATAGTCCTCCTGAAAATGTTAATACATACATGCTTTAATTTGGGAAAACAAAAATTTATTTTTATGAGAATCATTTTCAGATGACATGATTATAAAAAAGCTTTACTATACTTTTTTAGAAAATTGAGATACTTGGAAGCACTTTTGGATTGAAAGGAAACAAAAGTAGAAACCAGTGGTCTTGCACTATGATGGCCAGAGAGTTCTTGGCACTCCCTTGTGGGCATGTGTGTGCATGCTTGTGTGTGCGTGTGCGTGGGTGTGTGTTTTTCTCTAGCTTTTTTTGATCCAAGTGCATCAAGGTTATGGACAATAGATCTCCCTCCCAAAGACATAGAAGCAGCCTAAAGTCATATATGGGCATTCTTTCAATGATTGGAAAGAAAAGCATCATTTTTGGTTGAATATTAATTAAGCACTTACCATCTGCCAGGCACTGTTCTAAGAGCAGAGAAGATATCTGTGAATAAGAGTCCCAATCTCTGCCTCTGTGGAGTGGACACTCGATGGAGCACCTTAGGTGGCGATAAGTGTGGCTCAAATAAATCAAGAAAAGGAACTCGTGGCACCAGAGAATAAAGGTAGGGATATAATTTCAAACATGGTGATCAGGGAAGACCTTAGTGACAATGTGACATTTGAGCAAAGACCTAAAGGAGGTAGAGGTGGGAGCCATTCAGAGAACTAGGGGGAAAGCATTCCAGATGGTGAGAACAGGAAGTGTTAGGAGACCTGGAGGTCGAAGTGAGCCACAGCAATGAGATCACTGGGGCTGGAGCCAAGAGAGGAGATAAGAGGAGTTAAATATAAAAGACGACTTCTGAGCAGAACAATGACTTGGTGTTAACAGACTCAGTCTGGCTGAAGGACTGTGAACAGATGATAAGAAAGGAGATGAGTTCTCACAGTGTCTCAACCATCCAGGCAGGAGCTGAAGGTGGCAGACCATGAACCCAGCAGCAGAGCTGCTGAGGATAGGCTGGACTTCAAAGGTAGAGCTGACAGGATGGATGTGGGGTAAGAGAAAGACAGGTGTCAAAGACGACTACCTGGTTGGGGCCTGAGCAGCAGGAGCCATGAGGCTGTAATGAACAGAAATGAGCGAAAGAGCCATAGTAGGTTGGGGAGGGAAGATGGCGTGCTCCATTTCAAACATGCCAAGTGTTTAGACACCTGTGAAAATCCCAGTGCAGATGCCTGATAGGCAGTTGGATATACAAAAACAAGTTCAGGGAAGAAGATGAAGTTCAGGGAAGAGGATGAAGTTCAGGGAAGAGGATGAAGTTCAGGGAAGAGGATGAAGTTCAGAGAAGAAGCCTGGGATGAAGTGTACCCAGGACAGTCTCCAGTGGCGTGAATAGTATGTGTTGACAGGAAAGACGACTAAGGACCCACTCCTGGAAAGTCCAGAGCTGAGCTTGGGGACACGAGAGGAAGCCAGCAAAGAGCCTGGGAAGTGACCAGTGAGTTACAAGAAACACCAGGAGCCCATCCTGGAAGTTGAGGTTCCCAGAAAAGGGAGTGGACCCTCTGAGTTAACTGCTGCCAGTCAGACCAGCGGTGTCAGGGACTGAGCCCTGCGGAGTCAGTGGTGGCCTTGGTAAGAGGAGCTTGCGTGATGGAGAGAAGAGACTCAGCTGGTGTGGGGTTGTGAGAGAATGGAGGAGAGGAATTGGAGAGGGGAGGTAACACATAGCAATGGAGCCATCGCCAGAGGGAACATGGGAGTCAAGGAAGACATTCAGGTGGGAGTGAGGAGAGGAAGAGGAGTGCTGGGGTGTGTCCTTGAGTCAGGGAGAGGCGGGGAGCAGGGCTTAGGTGGCAGCAGGAGCCGGTCACTCCTGGCAACAGAAAGGAAGACAGAGCGCATAGGCCTGGAGGCCATGAGTGGGAAACTCTGACGACTTCTGCTTCCTCAGTGAACCAGCTCATCAGCTGAGATGAGGATGGGCCGTGTACTAGCTGAGACCAAAAGACCTGACAAAAGTCACGTCGAGGAGAAAAGTAGTATCAGAAGTTCATTGCCAGGTTCGTGACTCCATGGCTCGGGGCCTGAGGTGAGGCAGAACATCTGGTGGAAGGGCATGGAGGAGGAGAGCAGCTCAGGACGTGGCCACAGAGAGGGCTCCACTCACCAAAGATAAAATATGAACTCCAAAAGCCTGGCCCAGTGACCTCCTCCAGCTATATCCTACCTGCCTACAGTTAATCCACATAAGTGGATTAATCCACAGATTAGGTTATACCCCTCATGATCAAATCACTTTATCTCTGAAAATGCTCACATCCTCTCAACCATGAGCTTCTARGGGACACATCATATCCCAACCAGAACAGGAAGGATGTTGAAAGCTTAGAGAATTTCAGACATTTGGCTTAGAAAGGAGGGCAATGAGTGGACTAGGGCAGTGGGGCAGGAGCTCAAGTTTGTGACCATGGATTGAGGGTGAGGCTAGGCAGCTTGGGTGCYCTTCCCAGGGAGCTCCATCTGCAAGGCATAGGCAGAGTGGGAAGAGAGCTGGACTCAACCAGGACTTGGACTTGCCAGGCAAGAACCACGTAGACAGAGGGTGGAARAGGATCAGGAAGAGATGCAAAGAGCCAGTTCTAGGATGGGCTGGAAACACTGTGAGAGAGTGGAAGGAGCAGGAAAAGAGCATCGGCATTTTTAAATTGTGTATCCTAGTGTAAAAGGAGGGCTGTTGGTTTGGGGTGACAGAGCAAGAGTGGGCTCTAGGGAGACTGAGAGCGGGATGCTGAATTTGAGGCTCTAGAGTCATTTCAGGAACTGGTGAAAACGAAGCCTTAGAGGGCTGACATGGACTGGAGCATGTTCCCGCCAAATTCCCCACCTGGAATCCTGCTCTCATGGAGCCTCTAACCAGCACTGAAGGAAGGAGCAAGAAAGGAGAGAACAAGATGATCACTGGCTTTCCAAGATCCCAGGAGCTGCTGGGTTGTATAGACCAGTTTGCAAGGGTCTAAGAAGGTCCCATCAGGTGAGATTTCTTTCGAAGTGCTGATTGCCAACACTGGGTACTTTGGAGAAGAGTAAGAATACATTTCTCCATGCTTCTGGAGACTGGAGTCTTAGAGGTTTTCCCACCTTGCRGAAAGGCCATGGCTTGTGGGAATTGTCCATGTCAGTGAGGACAGCTGTCACTCTCAGTCAGGGCCTCCCTCAAAATAATCATGACCGACATCTCTTGGGAATCTTTTAAGTGAGGCAGTGAGCCAGAAGCTTTTGCAAGTATTAAATACAAACAAAAATCCCCCCTAAGAAATTCTTACAGTGACACTGAGGTGGAAGACATGGTTAACCCCATCTTACGTGAACACAAAAACATRGATCTAAGGAAAGTTTTAAAAACGTACTCAAGAGCTAGAAATTAAGCCCCAGTCCTTCAAACAACTTGAACTCTTCCATCACTTCCTTCCTTGCTTAATATATTTCTGTGTATGGATCCTTCTTCTCCATTACAATTAGTTTTCAAGTGTGGAGCGACTTTTTAGTAGTGGTTGCCCGTGGCACTGTTTTGAAGGGACGAGGACTTCAGGGGGAGGGACATGCAGGCCAGAGAGATTACCTAGATAGATTAGTGATGTCTGTGATGGAAACGGGGTCAGGGAAGGGCGTCGTGCCTGGCCAGTGTTTCCCAGTCTCGGTCACTCCCAAAATAGTGTCTCTAATGATGGTTT